ATTCTAATACTATGTATAAATAGATATACAGAATATCTGCATGAATATTTCAGCATGTGTAATGTCTATAGGTGCGTTCCGTATCGCGCATGATGTGCATGATGCATCCATTGTCCTTGTTTAACATTTGGTGAGCAACAAGGATAGACGATGCATTATGCGCATCATGCGAGAAACAGAACACACCCTATGTCTAAAGCCTCGTCTACAATAGTCGCACAAGCTGTGTCGCATGTCATATGAAATGTCGCAAAAGTGTCGCACATAGTCGCATGATTATCGTAGTCGCAAGAGCTCTTGTCGTACAAAGTTGAGCCGACTTCAACTTTCTGCGACTGCGACAGGCATGTCGCATGAGCTCAGCCAATCACAGCACAGCAAGTTGACGTTTAGAATTGCGGTATGCGACAAATTTTCCTGCGATGCTACTACTCGCGATATCCGACACAACCTGTGCGACTATTGTAGACGAGGCTTTAGGACGATATTTCATTTGTGCGTTTTTGTCGTACGACAAGCTTTTTCTGCGTGTTGATTGGTTATAGGATAGAGAGATCCGAGGACCTCTCTGTCTTGCACATATTTGTCGTACGACAAAAACGCATAAATGAAATATCGGCCTTATGCTGGATTCACATTAGATTCGACGTGCGTCGTACAATGCTCTGCAATCAATCAGAAAATAGGATTTCGATGATACGAAGCAAAATCCATCGGAATCCTATTTTCTGATTGGTTGCAGACCGTCGTACGACGCAAATCGGATGCAGTGTGAATCCAGCATTACGCTGTGTCATCTGTCTCTTGCTTGAAAGCACCTTATGTATTGACAGATATTCTAACCTAAAAAGGCATTGGACATAAGAACAAGTGCTAATACAACCATATTTCGATAAAATACTGCCAGTATTTAAAAAATCTGTACTTCATATTACATATATTACAGATTTTTAGTACTGGGTGTATATCTATTATAACGCGATATTATTCAAGTTTGTCACGTCAAATACTCGAACAGACTTGTTAGAGTGAGTAGGAGCTATGTAGTAGGCATGCGATAACATGCGATATGAGGAAATGCGTTTGGCTTCAAGGCTAACGCGCTGTAG